TATATATATATATTTATATATATATTGCAATCAATTACTTTTAGAGTTGCAACGAGGAAAATCGAATAGAATGTTTATAGAAAATCATATGCTCTTATATTAAAGTAAAAGTTTTACCGGCATTTAATGGTATTTAAAATACAAACGTTGGAAATTAATACATTTTTATATTCGCTTTGAAATAATATTTTAATGGCAGACGTATCTCATAAAATATTTTCGTATATTCGAAATGTTACATAAAATTTTGTTACAGCAAATAACTTTTGATATATTAATAACGGTTGATATATTAATAATTATAATACAGTAATAACTATACTTACAATATTTTTGGTTAAAGTTTAAGCAATTCCTTTTAAAATGAGCTTTTTTGATCATAATATTTACTGAAAATATAATTTTTCAATACACATATCGGAACATTGTATATCTGGACATAAAAAGACAGTGTCTGTTTGTTGTAAGGCCGAATTACTTGTAAATCTTCCAATAAATCGGTACCAGTCATTAATTGGCCGCAATTTGCGCAAGATTACAGATACTGTGAATGTCCAAAAATATCGCAGAAAGTTTTTAGGACGAACATAGTGAAGCTTAGAACAAAATAAAATGGTGAATGGATACTAACTTGCACGAATGTTCATCGGATGAAGCTTGAAAACAGTTGCTCAATATTATCTATCACGTATTTTGTGTTTTGGTTGAGCGATTGATAACCAATATCGTTATCGATCGATATGCAAAACTATCATCGAATGCCATTAAACATTATTACGTAGCGCGCAGTTGTCAACTAGTGCTGATTGGAATAGTTAACGTGACATGTCCCATTTCGCACTTCCAGTCGGTTGCACGTAGATCGCATTCATCATTGCAATATATATGACATTTGATGGCTTCCGAAATGCTATATTTCATTCCCCTCCAACACTATCCCATAATACTATTCTACTATTAATAAACGAAAGTAAAATTATCAAATAAATACAAATTATATTTTTCTTTAATATAATGGAATTTAATCAGTTTTAATTTTTCAATCAAAAAGAATTCTCGCTATATAAATCCGAAGAATAGAAAGAAGAAGGAAAACTTGGAATAAAATTTTATAAAGGAAAATATTATGCAAATATTAATTATACACACAGATGACTATGTGCAAAAGTGAATTTCGTACAAACGAGAGAAGCATGGCTTTCGTATGCTTTTGGTGAATGTCGGATAAAGGCTAGAAGCCCTTTTCACCGTTGTACACCGTTGCAATGTCATACAGCTTGCTTTCCTAGAAGAAGGAGTCGTGAAAGTTCTCGAGATGGATGATGAATTGTGTGTTATTGCGTGAAAAGTATTGTCGTGAAGAAATAAAAGTCATGTTACTTGCAAAGCTTCTTACCTTTCACCCAGTTAGAGTATGAAGTGACAAGCATGGAGGATATGATTTTAACAAAAACAATAAACAAAAAGTTTTGTAAATATTTTTATTAAAATAACATAATTATTTACTTTAACAAATAACATTTTTTGATATTTGTAAGAGTGTGTTGATTTTATATTAATAATTTAATAATTTAATTAAGTCGATTTTATATCAATAATTTAATAATTTAACTAAATTAATGAATTATGTTAGTCAGTATAACATCAATACTTATTTAATAATAAATGTGCCACAGTATTATTAATTTGCTACTGGTATATGCAGGTTATAAGGAAAAGAAACATTTATAATGAATCTAGGTGATGGCTAAATAAAAAACACGTATAAAAAGTACATAAAAACACGTTTACATTGTGTTCGTGCAAAATTTAAATTATTAATTGAAGGTTTTAAAATGATTGATTCAATTAAAACTTCGTGATTGAACTAACAACTTGGAAATTAGCATACGTATTATTATTAATTTAAAAATCTCGTTTGCTGACCAGTTCATGAGAAAGATTGATCGATTTGCCGTGACGTGGAAAACTTTTGCTCATACATTGTTACCTGAAGTTGACAATGCAAATGTTGTGCTCACAATTAACAAGTTAATTATATTTGATCGGCTAACATCGCCATTCAATATATCTTGTATACGATTTCACGGCACATCCATGTTTTCCACAATAAGGTTCACGCTCGCATAAATTATAAAATCATTTACGTCGAATTGAGATAATGAAATCCAATTTTGTTTACGTAAATGGATAAATAAATTTATCAAATACATACGCGAAAAACAGAAATATTTAATTAATTATCTGCATCAATTATGTATTGAATACACCATTTGATTATATCATTTTCAAAATAAAATACATAATATATGTATATTTGATTATCTTTTTTTGAATATTCAATTTAATTACGATGATATTCTTTGAAAAAAGATTTGCAAGTTCGTCAATGCGTGCTAGTGAAATAAATTGAAACAAGTCCGACAGTTATTGGAGTTCGTATCGGATAAGTTGAGATCAAGATTTGCAGTTTTGATAAATAATTTGGAATTGTTGCACAGGAAAATAACAAAATAAGACAAACAACATATTTCGGAAATAATTGATTTTACAATTTTAATCAAAATGTATGAGTTGAAAATAAGTTTAACATTTGGCATATTAAAATTGTTGTTATTATTTTGCCAATGATATTTAAATAATTAAAACATATTTTGCGCTTGCTTTATTTCCTTTCATTTTCTTAAATACTAAAAAAATTCGTAGAGACAGATATAATTATGTTCTTTATATTTAAATATAATTGAAATCATATTAAGATTTGCATTATCTTTATGACAAGAAAATTAAATTACAGTATTATATAATATATGATATAAAGTGTCCTTGTTCTAATAATGCTAGACCAAGATTTACTCAGGACCGAATCTCTGATATCATCCAGAGATATAGTAGTAACACGTGCAGCAGTCCGAATATATTACACAAAACTGTTTCCTCAGGTGCGGTAATCTCTGATATTCCTAATATTTTGAATCGTCAAAATCTGTGTCCCGAGAGTTGATAGTCTCTGTTGCTAATTAAAATTTACGACGATGAAAGCCAAAGCTATTGCGATAAACGTTTCTCCGGATCGCGGTAAACGTTTATTATTAATTTATATTCTTCCTTTAATTTCATCGGAATCGAGTAAATGGCGAAAATATTTGCGCTGTCGCATGCATTAATTAATTCCAGTTAATTAAATCTATTTCCCTATTTTTCATTATCTATCATTTTCCTTAATTAAGGATATGTGGTAATTAAAACTTCAAAAACGGCAATGTCTCCATATTTTTCCCTTACATATATTAATTATCCTTTTCTTTCTAATTATCTTCATGTTTGCTTTTCATTTGTATTCGTTTGATAAATTGGATTTATTCTGTCGTAGATGCTGGTATAACGGCGACATGGAGACGCTCTACACCGGCGCGATTCATGGTTTTCCGCAACCCGGCGGCGGAATAGCTAATGGCGTTTCCACGGGAATCGCAAGTTCCTTCGACCAAGACGGCGTGCTCAGCCTTATCGTCGTGCTCGGAGGAAGTCTGTCCCTGGTGGCCCTGGTGTTTGCGTTCATCACCTATAGGTAAGTTTAACTTTAAGCAGACAAAGCGTTTATTTAATATTTCGATATGGAATTTTCGGATACGAAAGCATTGAAAAACCGTGCTAAAGAATATGTTAATAACTGTGGAATAAAATGTTATGATAATTAATAGAATAAGATATAAGATATAAGACAGAAGAATTAAATATTAGAATTGAATATTAATATTTAGAAAATTGCATTTTTATTTTTTTCTATCTCTCGAGATATAATTATCATGCGAGAAGTATTCTCTTATTTAATTATTTATTATTATCAGCAAAGAAAAAAGAACTTAACGAAACGATTAATTAATCTTCATGTTCTATCTTCTTTTTATTCTCTCTACGTTTTAAATTAATCGTTTATTACTTGTTATTTTGCAATTTTTGCATCGTTTCATTTGTATTCTAAGGATCTTGACGAAGAATTTAATCGGATTAATTTGTAACAGAATGAAAATAATGATATTGTATCACGTTTTCTTCTCTATGGATTTTATTAAAGACAAAATGGTTAACGATATTGCAAAAATTAAAAAAATTGCATCTGTTAATGGCACGTTTTTCATTTTGTGAGTTATTATTTTGCGTGCTGTATTTCTGAAAAATGTGCAGCAATTTAACTGAGAAATCGGTCAGAAAATTCGGCGATACGCCAGTCACGTTTACTTTATATCCTTTTATTTTCGGCACGTCGGCGATTTTGTTCGCAGTTCTTTATGGATCGCCGATTCCTTCGTCACAGAGCTAATCGGTGTACCTTTACGTTGAAAGACGATACCGCCGGAATACTAAACGACTTTACCACTTCGGCCTTCTTCCATGACCTCGTTCCTTCGATGAAGAGAAGTCCTTTTTTCCTGCGTTTTTCCAGCGATCTAATTTCTCAATATCATATATATTTTTAACGATCGTGCAACTTTAGAAATTTTATCCTGTCGATAATCACAAAATCGATGACTCGTGCCGTAAACGACATTTTGACCTTCATCTTCGAATCAAATCATTGGCGAAGAAATGCTGCGAAGAGAATGACACACACAAAGGAAAATGAAGAAAGAGTGAGAGCGCGAGAGAGATAAAGTTTCACGATCGATCATGTCCCATTCCGGAAATTGCTGGGAAATGGGAAAGTGCAACCACGAAGTTTCCCTTCGCGCGATTCGATCGATCGAAGAAAGACCAGTAATCTTCGATATAGTAGAAAAGACTGGACAAAAGGTATCGTCGTAAATGGCGTCGATAAAACGCGCCGTTCTTCTGACGTTTTATCCCATTCTCCTACTCAATGTAAATCCTTCTCATATTTCGCTTCCAAGAGATTTCGATATATCAAGAAAATCGACGAAATTTCTTCGTAATGGAGATGATCACCGATATCAGAAAATATCCATAATATCGATTCATATTTTTCTTTCGACATTTTCACATTTATAATAGTAATAAATAATAGCAAAGGTAACTTTCTTTACTTTTCTTAAGTTGTTAAATAAACGAAAAACGAAAATAAGTATGAATCCGTATGAGAATTTTACCAAGTTGATCTGGTTGAGTTCAACAGGTCTCCATACGTTTTTCTGCGGAATTTTAAACTTATAACGTTTTCTTGCTATATAAGTTTACTGAATTTCGATATTTTTAACGAGATGCATCTCTATATTTTTCATTAATTATTATTTTACTCTTGATGATATTTTGTTGGCGTTATCATCAATTTAGTTTCATTATCAGTTTAGATAATATAAATTTATTACTTTAACATTGATGACTAATATTACTAGTTCCATTAAGTGCGCTAAGTGGATTTCTGTGTAGATATTTTTGAAAGTTAATTTTCGAGAGAGCTCGCTTTTTTCTATTGTCCATAAAATTTTACATTTTGTAATTATATATCAAAGGAACTGAAGCATCATAAACACAATTTTTATGTTTATTTTTCATTAAAAGAGTTTCTTCTCAGATATTCTTTTATATACCAGCTTCACCACTGTTTCAGTAGTTAACTAAATTCGTGTGGAAAGAATAATTTCGTGTGTAAAATATTATATTTTTTTAAAGAAAAAAATAATGAAATCAGTGGGAAAGACGTCCGAGTTAGTTAGTATTAATTATAAGTTGAACGAATAATCCTCGTGTCTGTAATAATAATGAAACTTTCTCTGTCGTTTTCTCTTTCTTTGATTTTTCGTAATTCCATCTTTTCTCCCTTTTTCTCTGTATTTTCCAAAGAAAATCGCTCATTCAACAGTCACGTTCGTTTATTTACGTATATCCAACGATAGTTCAATATCGCGAATGAACTGTTAGCTTTTCATTACGAAGCGATGATACATATAACTATTTTCATTTCTTTATTGCTTATCTTTCTATTTCTTTATTATTCTTTCTATTTTATTACTACTTTGTTATTATTCAATTAATTTTTCTTTCTTTGTCGTCGAAAGAGGAATTCGTTTTACATTGCACTTCTTGCACATTATGTATGTTAATCATATTATCTTATGATTATTCTTATATGCATTTTAATATTTTTTTTAATTGCGGTTCTTTTGCGTGAAATATAAACTAAACAGTAATTTTTTAACACTTCTTTTTATTTACTTTTATTTTTCTAACAATAAATTAAATAATATTATAAATGGAATACTCGATCTTATTACAGTGATTCCATCGACATTTGATAAGAGAGTTTAATAATGTTTCTGGTAGATTTCTATATTACTCCGGTCGTAGTTATATTCAATTGATATTTAATCAAATTGATATTTGATCAATGATATTCATTATGTACGCAATATCGCTCCTTGATACCACTCATTTATTTCAGCGATTGGTATCTGACAACTTCTGGAATTGACCTCTTTTGTAAAATGATTCTGTTTTGCATAATTTTCTTTTCGTTTCGTTCCATTTTATAGTATAATTACCGGATTATATACAAACGATATAAAGATTCGATTATTAAAATTGGAATTTAAACAATTAATCTTCCATAAAAAAAAAGAAATTTTTGAAGAGATTAGATAAAAAATAAGCTATTTTCTTTCTGTATTTTTTAAACAGGAAAAAAACATTTTACAAATTTAGATAGTAATAT